GTCCCCCTATTATCGTTCATCACAACTGGATGACTCGTCGTTCCGACGTTCACCTAGTATCCTTATAGTAAATTCAATCACGATTCTCTGTTTTGTTTTGTTGTTGTTTTCTTTCTTTATAGGCCCGACCTCGACAAAACAGTAATCTACAGCCGCTCGATTGTGAGATCCGTCGAGCACCCAACTGCGGTTCCTTCGAGTCAACGAAGTGACGGCTATGAAGGGGACACTGAGGCAGCGAATACCCGCCGGGTCAGAATTCGCTCTGATGCTGCTTCTCTCTCGTTTCTGCTGCAGTGTGTTAGTTAGACCTGTTGTTGATCTACACGTAACAGCAGTTTGGGGAAAAAATGTCAGAACATTAAAGTGTATAATTGACATGAATGAAACCATAATACAAATTTCATGGGAAAAACTGCATGGTAAAAGTGCGCAAACTATTGTTGTGCATCATCCTGAATATGGGGTCTCTGTTCAAAGAAAATACCACGGGAGGGTGTTGTCTAGAAGTTCTTTGCCCATTGATGCGACGATCAGTCTGTATAATGTGAGTTTCTATGATGAAGGAATATTTAAATGCAAAGCAGTTACATTCCCATTAGGAAATGCAGAGTCATTAACAACTATAACTGTAATTGTCGAACCCACTGTGAGCTTTACAAAGGGACCAACTCCCTTAATAGATGGTAAAAATTGGACAGTAGCAACTATTTGTACAGCAGCCACTGGGAAACCCGCTGCAAATATAAGTTGGGAAGGAGACCTCGGTAAAATGGAGCGTAATTCAATTTCCTTTCCAAATAGAACGGTAACAGTTATTAGCCAATATAAGATCATTCCCACTAAATTTGCGGGGGCAAGTCGTATAACTTGTATCATGAAACACCCAGCTTTGGACAGGGAAATAAGGTATTCTCACGTACTAGACATCCAATATGCTCCTGAAGTGTCAATAACTGGCTATAATAGGAATTGGCTTGTTGGACAACGAAATGTTCAATTTAAGTGCAATGATAATTCTAACCCGCCACCTATAAAGTTTACCTGGGCCAGACTAGATGGACAATGGCCTAAAGGCTTGCTGTCTGTAAACAGCGCTCTACATTTCAATGGGCCACATTTCAATAGCCCATTAACCCACAATCATGACGGGACTTACATTTATAGGGTGACAAATTCCCTTGGTCAAGGAAGCGATCAAAAGATTATTTACGTATTAGATCTCTCTACCATCCCTACCACACGATCGCCCACGGTTTCATGGTATCCTTCAGCTAATAGCATTACGGGTTTAGCATCAACATTCACCCCAACAGTAGTGCAGGAACATAATTGGGGTACCATCATCGGTAGTGCAGTAGGTGGAACTCTCTTTCTAATACTTGGAAGTATTTTAATTGGTATTTTCTGTTATGGGAGAAGACGGACGTCTCGCGGTGACTATTTCACTATGAACCATATTTCACCGACTAATAAACGAGAGGAGTCCCAAACAGATGTTCTCCAGTCAGATGATGACCAATAGTTGTTGTTATATGTTTAAGTTATTATATTTTGTAGTTTGTTAAAAAGACCGGTCTGTAAAATTGTTTATTTGTGTGTGTGTGTGAGCTATATATATATATATATAGTTGGTAGCTTAAGCTCTGTAAGGCCAGTAAATCCTGAAACGAAAATTCCTTATAACGTGCTCATGTGTCTAAAATTCCAGTTGTGCCGTCGGCAAGGGGGCATGTCACAACCCAATGATTTTAGTGCCTCGGCACGATGGAATTTTCCCGCCACATGAGTCTCTGTGCACAGCAAAAGTTTTCTGCTGCAACAGAAAACCCCGGTGCAAGAGTTCCCGCCATTCGCATGCAAATTTGTGTGTCCC